GGAAGACAACGAATGAGTTGCTTTTTAAAAATTCTTCATTTACAAAAGATTGAGTGTCCCCTGTGTCAGACAAACACTAGATCAGGTGCCTTTCTGTTCTTCCTGCTTCCTCCCTCACCTGAGGCCATAATCCCCTGTGTCATGATGCTTGGTTACCATGGAGATGACTCATGCTATAAGTCACGGGTGAGATTTGGCAGGGAGCAGGTTGGGGCCAGGGCCAGTCTACCCACTGACCCTGGAGTCCAGACGAGACCCACAGACAGGGAGCCCTGAAATTAACACACATGAAAATATGCTGAAGTGGCTTGTAGAGCTCTAGCCGTCTTTCTTTCCTGGCCTTCCCCGGAGCCTCCTAGGTCTAATACAAGTATGTGGTATTAATTCGTTTTGCTGGAGCCCCTAGGTAGGTGGTTCAGGCTTAATTTTGCTGAGGACCTTATTTGTGTGTGAGAGCCCTTATTTGGGATGAAATTGTATATGTTAGCAGGCATTTCTTTCTGTGTCTAATGATTTTCTCATGCTTCAAAGTCAGAAAGAAAAGGCAGCAGGGTTCTAATGGAACACTTTGTGATGTCTGGTGAGCCAGCTCTCTCTGTCCCACTGGAGGGTACACCTTTTAGGGCAGAATCTGGCCTTTTCATTTCGTATTTCCAGTGGCTGTTATGTAAAAAAACATATTTGAAGCGAATCTTTGAAGCCATCGTTTCTCTGTACGTGTCTGCCCTGTGGAATGCTATAAAGGAAAAACATGTTTGTTTCAACTGCAGAAAGATTATTTTTGAGACATACCAGCCAGTCCTTTACAAGTAGAATCCCGAAAGCCTGCATTGCTGTGGGACTTTTCATTTCCCAAGAGCAGGACCCGTATTCCCCTCACCCTGCCACATTCCGATGGAAGGCCTTTGTGATCAGCTTTCCGTGTATTTGAGCCATGAGACACAGTGCGTTCCGAAAGCAGACAGGCCCTGAGAATTGGGCACGGTTGGATAATTGTGGCTCTTCTCAAAATGACCATTGAAAGGCCCAGGAGATTTGACGATGTCAGCCCAGGCAATAGAAGACACAAAGGAATTTTTCCATATTTTTAGCTGTTGCCTTGTCTTAGGTTAAAAAAACCTAAAACCTGACACCCTAAACTCTAAAATACCAAGGCAGCCTGTTTGGATAATGGACATTTTTACTTTTGTGCGCCCAGGACCATCATCCCTTGACTAAGGGGCATTGATGGGTAGGAAGATTGAAGTTTTCATTTTGTACCATTTTGTGTGACGTGAATTTTCACCCTATGGATGTTATTGCTTTAGAATATAGTTGTTGTTATTTTTTTATAAGTTTCCTGTCACTTTCTATGTATTCAAAGATCCTTTTAATTTTCAAAGAATTGAGTTTTTAAGTATAAGTTAAAGTAATTATTTGATTTTAGAAGGGATCGTTGGATTTTCTTGATAGGTTGCAGGAATTTTTCAGAATATGGTCTTAAAAACAAACTCACTACCTTGGGATTATGGCTTTCTTTCTGTACCCTGCCCTTTGGACTAGGGAAATCAACCCAGCCCTGATTTCTGAGATAATTCAGGCTTCCTGAGCCTACTTGAAAGGTAATGCTAGACCACACCCACGCTGTCACCTTATGCTGGGTGCCATGCTGGGACTTTGTCACTCACGAACTGCTTCTGCATTTAAGTGAGTTACAAAACAAATGCATAAAAAAAAGCACTGAAAATCAAAACCCACAAACGTATCAGGCTTGGGATTTCTTAGGGTGAGAGACCTTTATGAATCATGCCTTTCATTTATTATTAAATTATCCCCGTACCAAAGATCCCTTGCCTAAACGGGTCAAATTTCACATTGTTAGACAAAACAATTCCCATATTCTTCTCCAGCTTTAATAAATCTAGCACAGATTTTTAAAAATTCTGAATATTTGCATGGGACGCTTACCTGGGATTCAGTCTGCTTTTCACATCCTTCAATAGCTCGGTGGCTGTTCTTGGAGACCTGTTATTCGGTTTGAGGTTTGCCTGTGAAAATAAAGGATAGGAACAGTTGCTGGGGCATCTGTTCACACCTCCTAGTGGTTTTAGAAGCTCCCCCAAACAGTTCCCACTTTAGTGCCGGGGAATGAACCTGTGCATAGGCCCCCAGGGAGGAGCCTAGAGTTGGCTGTCGCTTCACTCAAAGTAAACAGACTGGCACTGGTACTTCTGGAAGGGCGGGCTGGTCCTAGGAACTGTCGATGGCACGCTTTGAAGGTCGTCTCTGCATCCCCTGTGAGGCTGACAGGGTTGTGTGGAGGAGGCTGGGGAGAAGGCCTGGCTGACCCCACCTCCCCGGGTGGAGAGGTGACACTGCTTGCGGCCGGTGAGGTCAGGCCGGTGTGGTCATCCGAGCCTCGGCATCCAGCTTGAGCAGCTTCCCCTTTCAGGTGCCTGCAGTGGGTATTTACCAAAGCTAACCACCCTTCATCACCAGGGTTACTGTGTAGCCACATGACCGTCAGAAGAGAAAAATAGGAATAATCCTCTGGACGTCTAAATGACCAATGAGTGAGCTATTCCAGGCTAGTCTTGGAAAATACATTGGCAAGACACTAGGCTGGCAGGGGTGAGGTTGGCTAAACACCTAGCATCTCTCCCTCCACGCTCCCGCCCTCAGCTGTGGATTGTGGTTTTAAAAACCATAAAAGATTTCCTCTAAAAGTCCAGAATGGCAGCTTACATCATTTTCTACAATTTTTGGCTGTATTTTTTAAATCCAGCTTAAGCTGTTCTTGATGACTCTGTATACTGGACGCTATATGTAACCTCATGATTTCTGGCTGGTGGTGACTCTGGTGGGATATCCCCCCTTTTCTTCCTAGAACGTTTCTCAGCACTTTTTTTCTCAGCATTTTCTTTCTTATGTTAGGACTTTTTATTTTTATTTTTTATTTTTTTAAAATGTTTTATTTATTTCTAGGAGAGAGAGAGACAGCGTGAGCAGGGGAGGGTCAGAGAGAGAGGGAGTCACAGACTCCGAAACAGGCTCCAGGCTCCGAGCTGGCAGTCAGCACAGAGCCCGACGCGGGGCCCGAACCCACGAACCGCGAGATCATGACCTAAGCGAAAGTCGGACGCTTAACCGACTAAGCCACCCAGGCGCCCCAATGTTAGGACTTTTTAAATGAGAAGCTTAAACCTGCCTCAGAAAGAATGTATTTATTTGTATTCTGAAGTTTATATATTTATCTTGAGAAAGAGAGAGAGCTGGAGAGGGGCAGCGAGAGAGGGAGAGAGAGAGAATACCAAGCAGACTCACCGCTCAGCACAGAGCCCGAGGTGGGGCTCAGTCTCACAACCTTGAGCTTGTGACCTGAGCCAAAATCAAAAGGCCAACGCATAACCAACCGACTGAGCCACCCAGGCGCCCCCCCAACCCTTTTTTTTTTTAAAGTTATTTATTTAGAAAGAATTTAAATTTGAATCTCCTCTCTGTGTGTTGTGAACATGGCCCATGGGAGGTGAGTTAGGAGAGAGTGCAAAGCAGCAATCTTAGGGTAAGAGAAAGAATAGGAGCTTTGGAGAAGTGCAGAACTGATTCAGAATCCTGGCAAGCTACCTAACTTGTGAGCCTCAGTGTCTTTGTAAAATGGGTGTAATGTCCACTGCGTGTCATTCTTGGGACGCTTATTCGAAGATGTTCCTAAATGTGTACAGTGCCAGGTATGTCGTAGGTGCTAGTTAAGTGCTAGGTTTCTGCTTCCTTCTGCCACTTTTCTTTCAGTGTAGAATGAGCTAAGGTCCTGGGGCAGGGATCTGCCCTGCAAGCGAGACAGGCTGTGAGTGAAGGAGGAAATTGTGCTCTTTTGAGCAAACCTGTCATTTCCTTAATGTCCACAACCCTCAGCTCTTAAGTAGGTCACTACAAACAACATCCAAATGTGGCTTCTCGGTCTGTGGGTACCGTGGGGGATGGCTGTCGGTGGACCCTGGAATCAGGCTTGTTTGCTCTGTAGTGGTCCTGCCACTGATCGGCCCATGTTCTTGCAGGTCACCAGATGGAAAATGCCAAGGGGAGATTTTTTTTTCTGATCAGTTCGTCTTTCAGTAGAATTGGACGGATACAGTACTTGCCATATCTTGTAGTTTGCAAAAATACTTGAATCATGTTTGAAGTCTCCCCTTTCTCGGATTATTAAGCTAGGAAAGAATGCCTCCTCTCGAGTTCTAATTTTTTTTTTTTTTTTTAGTGTGGTAAAGTATACATAACAAAATTTACCAGCCATTTTTGTAGGGTACAGTCTGTATGGTACATTCACACTGTTGTGCAACCATCAGCCCAGCCTTGTCCAGGGCTTTTTTATCTCCCCAAATGGAAACTGTACCCATTAAGTACTAATTCTTCATTCACTTCTGCCCCCAGCCCTGGGCAGCCAGCATTCTGCTCTATGAATGGGACTGCCCTAGGCACCTTGTAGAAATCGAATCCCACAATATTTGTCGTGTTGTGACTGGCCTATGTCACTCTTTTTGAAACAAAAGTGTTTTTTTTATGCCGTCTTGTATTTCTGTTAACTCTCTGGCATGGACTGTCCTACAGATTCTTGCCTTTTTTCTGAGAGTTATGTGTAAACTTACATTCTGCCTTCTGTTTGTGTATGATCTTTGGATTTCCCCCCTATTGAATAAGGAAAATACCAGTCATAGGAGATGATTTGATGGAATGTTTTATTTATTTTATTTTTGGAAATAGCTATTGAACCAATATTTTAAGTCACTATACATTAAAGTACAGAATCAGATCCTATCTTTGCCTAGGGGGTGTCTTCTCAAAAATAAAACTATAGGTTCTGTCCTCATTCCCCACCCCACCCTCTACTCTCCAAAGAAGAGAGCCCAAGAATGCATTTATGTAAGAGGTTGGCAGTAGCAGAGAAGAGAGGCCAAGTTAATTGACATTGTGAACATTGTTTTAGGCTCGATTCAACGGTAACCTCTCCGCCTTTCTCCTTGTAGGTGGTATACCTTGAAATCCAAACCAGGAAAGAAGGATAAAGAGCGAGGCGAAATTGAGGTCGACATCCAGTTTATGAGGAACAACATGACCGCCAGCATGTTTGACCTTTCCATGAAAGACAAGTCTCGGAATCCATTTGGGAAACTGAAGGACAAGATCAAGGGGAAGCATAAAGATAGCGCGTCCGATACCGCGTCAGCCATCATTCCCAGCGTCACACCCTCTGGCGACAGTGATGATGAGTCTACTTCAAAAGACAAGAAAAAGAAGTCGAAGATCAAGACCTTGTTTTCCAAGTCAAATTTGCAGAAAACACCACTTTCCCAGTCCATGTCTGTCTTGCCTACTTCAAAGTCAGACAAAGTGATGCTTCATCCTGGAGGCTTTCAGTCCCGGTGGGAGGATGAGGAAAATGAGGATGAGTCCTCCTCTGCCTCGGATGGTGAGTTTTCTCCTCCTCCTTACTTGGGCGATTGTGCATGCGCGCGCGCGCTCGCTCTCTCTCTCTCTCTCTCTCTCTTTCTCTGTGTCTCTGTCTCTGTCTCTCAGCCTACTTTGCTTTGAGAGAGAAGAAACGATGGGGCGCCTGGGTGGCTCAGTCATTTCAGCATCTGGCTCTTGATTTCACCTCAGGTCATGATCTCATGGTTAGTGGACTCTGTGCGGACAGCATGGAGCCTGCTTGGGATTCTCTGTCTCCCTCTCTCTCTGCCCCTACTCCACTCAGCTCACTCGTGCTTGCTCTCTCTCTCTCAAAATAAACTTGAAAAAAAAAAAGAGAAGAAGCAAATCTTTTTTTTATTTTTTATTTTTTAATTTTTTAAAATATTTATTTATTTCCGAGAGAGAGAGCGCGAGCATGAGCAGGGGAGGGTCAGAGAGAGAGGGAGACACAGAATCTGAAATAGGCTCTGAGCTAGCTGTCAGCACAGAGCCCGAATCGGGGCTTGAACCCATGAACCACGAGATCACGACCTGAGCCGAAACCAGGCATTTAACTGACTGAGCCACCCAGGCACCCCGAGAAGAAAGAAATCTTAAGAGAAAGATTTTAATTCAGTTCCTCAGTTACTGACATGGTGATGGTGATCATGAGGGTGGTGATGATGGCGGTGACGGTCATGATGATGGCTCATCTTGGTTAGAAAGACTTCTTGGGCCACTTGGGTGGCTTAGTCAGTCAGGTGTCTGACTCCTGATTTTGGCTCATGTCATGATCTCATGGTTCGTGGGATCGAGTCCCACATCGGGCTCTGCGCTGACAGTGCAGAGCCTGCTTGGGATTCTCTCTCCCTCTCTCTCTGCTCCTTCCCTGCTTATGCATGCGTGTGCACCCTCTTTCTCTCTCAAAATAAATAAACTTAAAAAAAAAAAAGGCTTCTCTTTTTCTAAGCACTCTGGTTTCTAAGAATGCATAAATTCCTTTTCTAAAATGTCAGGCTCTGTAACTGATGTACATTAATATAAGCTTATGGAATTAACAATGTATGCATCCAGGTTTTTTTTTTTTTTCAATTAAGGATAAAATCATGCAACCTTAGAGTTGTTCTGATAGTTCATTTATTCATCAGGTATTTATTGAAGTGCTTCACCCTCACGGGATATATCCTAAATGAAAGTTGAGGAATCCAGTTCTTTTAACTGTGGATTAACTGTGTGTTTTGAACTTCAATGTCAAGGACCAAATCGTTACTGTTGGCCAGATTCTGCCCTTCTCAGTGGTTTACTGCAGGGTTTCTCAACCTCAGCACCATCGGTAGTTTTCTTTGTTGTGGGGGTTGCCCTGTGCACTGTAAGGTCTTTAGCAGAACCCTGACCTCTACCTGCTAGAGGTCACTGATGCCAGTGACACACCCCATGCTAGTTAACCAAAAATATTCAGACATGGAGAGATGGACCCCCTTTAGTTGTGAACTGCTTGTTTAACATCTTACTTCCTCTGCATCTTTGCTTTTCTTCCCACAGTCCTGTCTCCCAAGAGAACAGAGGGTGCACACCCTAAGCAACTGAACCAGATCAATTTCAACCTTCCCAAGAAGGAAGGACTCCCCTTTCTTGGTGGCCTCCGGTCTAAGAATGACTTCCTTTCTCGCTCTAATGTCTGTATCAACGGGAACCATGTTTACATGGAGCAGCCAGAAGCCAAGAGCGAGACCAAGGACAGCACCCCTACCTCTTCCCCGTCCCCCCAGGGCTTCAGGAAGAAGCATTTGTTCTCCTCCACCGAAAACCTGGCCACTCGGTCCTGGAAGGAGCCCGGGGAAAGTGGGCCAGTGTCTTCTGACAAACGGTCCTCTGAGTCTTCCACAAAAGACTCTCTGAAATCTATGTCTCTGCCATCCTACCGGCCACAGGTCAGTGGGGATATTCAGGAGAACACGGCTCCAGTGAACTTGGAGGCAGCAAAAGAAACCAAGGAGAGCAAGAAGCAGGAGAACAAGAAGTCCTCGTTGCTGTCTCTGGTGACAGGAAAGAAGGACGTGGCTAAGGGCAGTGATGGCGGAAGCCCCCCTGCCATCCCAGGGAAGGAGAAGGAAGGCACGCTTATGGAAGTCACACCCAGGGAGGACCAGTCGGGGCCTGACGAAGACCCAGCGAGACGAGCGGAGAAGGATTCCGTGGCTGTTGCCTCCGGACGGGGCAAATCCCTGAATCCCTTTGAGGAGGTGCAGATCGCAGAACCGGAAGCTGACCGAGAGCCCAAGTCTGAACCCGCACCACCTGCTTCCTCTGCAAGAGCTCCACAGACCAAAGCTGTCAAGCCTCGGTGAGTCTTGGCCCTCCTCACGCAGGGCGGCCCCTCTCTGCTCCCGGTGAGCAGCCAGGTCTGCCGTTAGAGCGCGTCTCACTCCTTGTTCTGTGGCCGTCCCTGTAGGTGACATACCTTTACTAGTCTGAGTTGTTTGTAACCAGCCCCGCCTGCCTGCCCGCCCAGCCCGCCCTGCCCAGATGGCAGTGATGTGTCCCCACCCCAAGCCACTGTCACCACGCCATCACGCATGGTCTGCCCGTCTCAGTACGGTATTCAGACCCCAGTGGAAGACCCCAGGCGGTAGCAGATTAGGTTCTGAGTACCGCGAGCTGGGAATACCAGGTTTCGGTTGTGGTTATACTCAGAACGTGTGTATATTTAAAGTTCTTATCACATATATCCGTTTGAGGCAGATGGTGTCCTTCCTCCTTGCACTTTGGCTCTGGTTTGCTGGCCTGATACCCTTGGTCCACCTTTGAGTGTGCCTGAGGCAGTCCTCGGAGTGTTTAGGGTGCCTCTTGTGAGAGCCTGGGTGGGGGGCGTCAGGAGCTTTATGCTTTCAGCGTGACTCACATTCACACCAGCAGCATCTCTGTGGTCTTGGGGAGGGGGGGGAGACTTTTTTTGAGATTCTGCTTACTTTGATTTCAGACACACAGACACATACACACAGGCCGTTCCTCTTCAGAATCTGTGCCTGTTGCCTTGAGGTGCCTCTTAACACTGCTTTGAACTTTTTGGACGCTTTTTGTTTATCACCGAAAGACACTGTAAGCTGTTGCTTTACCTGGAGGTTTTTCCATTTCTGTCGCAACAGCCCTTTGTGTGGCAAGTGTGCTTGGTGATCAAAGCATCCCTTTTATGCAGGGCCTGGGTGGCTCAGTCGGTTGAGTGTCCGACTTTGGCTCAGGTCATGATCTCACAGCTTGTGGGTTTGAGCCCCGCGCCAGGCTCTCTGCTGTCAGCACAGAGCCCATTTCAGATTCTCTGTCCCCGTCCTTTCTCTGCCCCTCCCCTGCTCATTCTTATTCTCTCTCTCCCCCCACAAAAGTGAATAAACATTAAAAAAATTATTTTTAAAGTGTATATGTTAGGTAATTCATGTTTCTTCAACTTCTTTTTTAAATTTATTTATTTTTGAGAGAGAGAGCGCAAGGGAGGGACAAAAAGAGAGGGAGAGAGAGAATCCTAGGCAGGCTCCACACTGTCAGCAAGGAGCCCGATGTGGGGCTCAAACTCACAGACCATGAGTTCATGAGCTGAGCTGAAACCCGAAGTCAGATGCTTAACCAGCTGAGCTACCCACGTGCCACCTCCTTTAACTTCTTGAGATACTGCCCCAAATATAAAAAAGCTCTCCCGTTTGGATCACCTTTATTTTTACATGGTTTTCTTTTTTTTCTTTCTTTCTTTCTTTTTTTTTTTTTGCCTCTTCTGATGCATCTGCAACTGACCTGCAGATTTTATTTTGTCCTTTTTGCAGACTGGAAGTGTCTCCAGAGGTTCAACCCACAGCCAGGCTTCCTTCTGCCCCTGACTCTTCTCTCTTTCCTTCTGCTCTTCTTTTCAGTTCTGGCCACACACCCGTCCCTTCTAAATCGGGGCATGGCTCAGAGACACTGTCCTCTGAATCTCCTTCTGGCTTCTTCTCTTTCTCATCTCCCATAGTGGCTCCCATTTCCACCTCCACGCCAGTGGAAAACTGGCCTTCCACAGCCAAGGGCCAGGCTGGTCCTGAAGAACCGTCCTTGCTCCTTAAAGCGGAATTGCAAACGGAGAGTGTAACCCAGGTTCCGAAGACTGTTTCCTGTGCCTCGGGGTCGCTTTCCCAACAGCTGCCCACTCCAGGGAGAAAAGGGACGGAAGATTCTCCAACGAGGAAGACCGGTGAGGTGGAGCCCCGAGACGTTCTGAGGTTGTCCCCCTCAGCACAGGCCTCCGTCTCTTCATCTCAAGAGACCCAAGAAGTGACATTCGCCCTTTCAGCCGCAGGTGGCAGGACCGAAAGCCCCACTGGGAAGCCTCCGATGAGGGAAGACGCAGATGTAGCAAGTCCGTCTGGGTCTTGTGGGGAGAACAGAGTCGAGGACAGCAGAACGTCCCCTCTTCAGGTGGGAGAATCGGTCCCCACTCTTGGCTCCGCAGCTCAGACACATGAGGGCCGAAAGAAAGTCAAGAAGCGGGTGTCATTTTCTGAGCAGCTCTTGACAGAAGAGGACTTAGAGAAGTCCCCTGGGTCACTGGGAGGGGATGAAGGGAGCCCCCAGGAGCCGCCACGGGAAGGAGCCACTGCCGGGGCCAGGTCAGACGAGGGGTCAGATGGGGAACCTGCTGGGCCTGTCCACACAGAGGGTGCCCAAAGGGGAGCGGCCAGTCGGGGCAAGCCAGTCTCCACGGCAGACTCGCCTCCCCGCCCCTGCGGGGAGACTTTCTCAGAAGGCCCCACGGGTGAAGCAGGCTCGGGGGAAGGCACCCCCCTCTGTGGGATCGAGGGGGACCATATGCTCATGGCTGAGAATCAGAGCAAAGCCAGTGACCATGAAGGTTTGTTGTCCGAGCCCCTGGGCAGCCTTCACCCTCCCCCAGGTGTTAGCTCTCCAGTCCTGGCTGACCTGGGCTTAAGCCTTCCCTCCATTCCCGAAGTGGCATCGGATGACGAAAGAGTGGATCAGATTGAAGATGACGGAGATGGAGAGACTGCACAGGCGGCAGCCCCGGCAGCCGGGCCTTCTCCCTTGAGCACATCACCTGCTCCTCCTGAGTTGGAAAGGAGGCAGAGGGGCGAGGCGGATGGGTGGGGGGCGCCCGCAGAGAGCCCGCATGACCCCAGGGCCAAGGCGCCCAAGGCGCCTGCTACCGCCGCTTCTTGGGAGCCAACCACAGCTTTGGGGATTCGTAAACTGGATCTTGGCAAGAGCTCACGCTCGGATAGACAGCAGCCTGGTCCTGGCGGTGGTGAGAAGGAAGAGCTGCTGGGAAATGGGAGGCCGAGCCAGCCTCCTGAAACGGCCCCGGATCCTCCTGGATCCAGCCCCCCCTTTTCTGAGACCTTTCCTGCTACGCACTCTCTCCCTAGCTACCCACATGCTGACACTCACTACACCAGTACAGCAGAATCTCAAAAAAAAGCAACAGCAGAGGGCTCCGCTGGTAAAGTGGAAAATTCTGGCAAGAGGAAGCCGCTTCTTCAGGCCTGGGTGTCACCCTCAGAGACACATCCAGTCTCCGCTCAGCCGAGCGCAGGAACGGGGTCAGCCAAGCACAGGTGAGAGTCCGGGAAGATTCTTTGACCGTGAGCAGTGGCACCCCCACCCCCACCCACCCCGCCCTTTGCTTTTTGCCTGCAGAGGTCATGGCTTTCTAACCACACAGATAGCCTGATGGGACTTGTGCGTGTTTTGCTGGTAGGGCCTGTTTCCACAGGGTCTCCCCCTATGGTGGGAATCCCTCCCCGAGACACTCCTAGTTTGTAGGGAGAGCATAGTGACAGTCTTCAAAGGTAGTTTTGGAATGGTTCCGCATAGTCAGATTTGGGGCTTGCAAATTGCAGAGCTGTCTCGTGACCAGTGTCTTCCTGGTATCAGAAGCCAACGGAGATGGAGTGGCGGAACCTCGCAGGGTGGAAAGCTTGCCTTAAGCTGCCCGGGGTGCAGCCAGTGTGTTTGTTCTGAACTCTTGCTTTACCGTTGAGGAGCAGAAGGCTCTGTAGGGACCCACATGGTGCAATCCAAGGCTGTTACTAGCTCAAAAATAAGAAGCCGTCTTTAATGGTCTCCTGACATTGATAATGAGACCAAGGGTCCCTTGAGCATGTCAGGTGGGTGGGCTTTGACCTGCCCGTGGCTGCCTCGGGCCGACTGTTCTCATTTCCGCAGGAACATTGGGGTGTGTCGGACTGGGGGCGGGACAGAACGTATCACCGCTCTGCCCCCTTGTCTGTCTTGCTGGCTGCCGTCCATGAGATGGACAGTTTTTCAGTTTTGTCATTACAGAAAGGTCTAAGGATCCTATCCCCTTCTCTTTAGACTTCATCCCGTGAAGCCAATGAACGCAGCAGCCCCCAAGATTGCTAATTCCAGCTTGGGCACTGCCACCATCATCAGTGAGAACTTGATCAACGAAGCCATGATGAAGGTATGTCTTCTTCAAAAAATAGTTAGGGATCGATACGAAACCTGTTTCTAGAGTCACCCACTCCTTGGGTAGCAGGTAGTGCCAGGAGCAACTTAACCTTATGCCTGTGTCTTTGGGTAATCTTTGGAAGCCTCTACATTTTCAACTGGATCATTACTGTTCCCCTTATGGTTACTTACTTATTGTTGCATTGTTTGTGTCCCCAAGCAACGTGATTGACACTATTACTTTTTAGTGAGAAGAAAATGTCACCCACCATCTGGTCCATTCAAATTAGATATTTTCATTTCCCCATGTATCTTTTCTTATCTTCTGGCAAGAATGTAAAATTCCTGAGCTTGTAATCAGTTCAGATACACTTTTCTGAAACTTTATTCTGCAGTCATTGCAAACTTAAAAAAAAAAGTTGCAAGAATAGTACAAAGAACTCCTATACACATTTCATCCCCATTCACCAGGCATTGACATCTTACCACATTTGCTTTATCATCGTCACCCTCTCCCTCCCCATCCCTGTCCATTCTGGGTTTTTTGGGTTTTTTTTTTTTCTGAACTACTGGAGGGTAAGTTGGCTACCTCATGCCCTTTTTACTTCTAAAATACTTAAGCATGTAATTCCTAAGAATAAGGACATTTGCTTCAGATCAAGACATTTAAAATTGACGTAGTCCTCTTTTCTCCTCTCTCGCCCAAATTTCAGATCCACCTGTTGTCTCATTAGTGTGCGCCTTTTTCCATTTTTCTTTCTAGTCTGGGATCTGGTCCAGGATCTCTCGCTCTTACGTTGCCGTGTCTCTCAAGCCTCCTTTATCCTGGACACCCAGCCTTCGCCTTTCAAGACCTTGACATTTTCTAAGACTTCAGAACAGTTGTTTTGTCGAATTCTCCTCAGTTTGCATTTGTTGGCTCAAAATTTCATGGTTTGGTTGGGGTTATGCATTCTTGTCAGGAATTAACCACGCAAGTCGTGTGTCCCTGCTCGGTGCATCGTGTAAAGAGGCACATTACATCAGCTTGTCCCGGTAGAGGGAGTGTTAACTCTGACGGCTTTCTGTAGGCAGAGTCCGCCAGCGTCTCTAGGGTAACGTTGCTGTTTATCCCCTTTCCAATCAGTAAGAAACTTGTGGGGAATCAATTTCAGACTTTGTAAGTATCCTGTTCTGCACCAACCTTTCATTCTCAGGCTTTTGTATCCATTGATGAATACATCAGTGGCCAAATGGTGATTCGCCTGTGTGGAGACACTCGTTCTCTTTTTCACCTGGTGGTGTATCCAGTATATCATAAGCACTTTTGTATGTTGCTACTTAATTCTTTGAAATGGTTATACCAATATTTACTTAACCTGTTCCCCTATTATCGGATGTTTGGACTGTTTTCTGGTTTTCAGTGTGAATAACGTCATAGTCAACAATTTCTTGCACAGAACTCTTCCCCTTCTTAAGCTAAATTTCCAGGAAGAATGTTGCTTGATTAGAGGATCTCTTCTCTTTAAAAACCTTGGGCTAACTTTAAAAAAACGACAACTCCTGCCCACAAATCAAACAAAACCAACCCCCCTCCCCCGCCCCCAGATGATCCCTGCTTTAGGGTGTCTCCATCCTGTTCTTTCTGGTTTGAAAATCAGGAGGGTTTAGAACACTGCCTTGTTGCAGGCCTCTGGTCTTTGACTCATTGTCATGTGGGCTGGAGGAGAATGATTTACCGAGGAACTGGTGGGCAAGGATGTGTTGCGTTTCAAGTATGTAGAGAGGAATTTCCTAACTGACTCCTGGGGTAGTCACTGTCAGTAGAAATGAACTTTATTTCTATTTTAGTTCAAAGCTTCTAGAGAAGTTGCATTCAGTCAGAGATCTTACAGTCCTGTGCACTGTAAGACATCAAGTCACTTTGCTGTTTTTATTTTTTAATTTATGTTTTAAAGTTTATTTATTTTGAGGGGGGATGGAGCACAAGCAGGGCAGAGAGAGGGGGAGAGAGAGAGAGAGAGAGAGAGAGAGAGAGGGAGAGGGAGAGAGAGGGAGAATCCCAAGCAGCCTCTATATGTCAGCACAGAGCCCAATGCAGGGCTGGATCCCATAAAGTGTGAGATCCTGACCTGAGCCAAAATTAAGAGTCAGATGCCCAATGGACTTGAACCACCCAGGCACCCCAGTTTTTGTGCTTTTACTCTTTTTTTTTTTTTTTTAGTTTATTTATTTATTTTGAGAGAAAGAGTGAGCGGGAGGGGCAGAGACAGAATCCCAAGTAGGCACCACACTGTTAGCACAGAGCCTGATGCAAGGCTCGAACTCAGAGAACCACGAGATCATGACCTGAGTTGAAACCAGGAGTCGGACGCTTAACCAAATGAGACACCAGGCACCCCAGTGTTTGTGTTTTTAAAATAAAAACGTTTTTGCTCCTGCCTCCTTTACTCCTGCAAGCATTTCTTTCTTTTTTTTTTTTAGAGTAGATTTTTTTTTTTTTAATTTATTTCTAGGAGAGAGAGAGAGACAGCGTGAGCAGGGGAGGGTCAGAGAGAGTGGGAGACACAGAATTGGAAACAGGCTCCAGGCTCTGAGCTGGCTGTCAGCACAGAGCCCAACGTGGGGCTTGAACCCATGAACCGCAAGACCATGACCTAAGCGAAAGTCGGACACTTAACCGACTAAGCCACCCAGGCGCCCCTACTCCTGCAAGCATTTCTAAAGTGCTGGTGGGTTGTTATAAGCTCTGGCTCCATTGCACCAGTGCCACCAGGAGCTGGGCTAAAGGGTCCCCGAAAGCTGGAGATCGGGGGTTCAGGCAAAGAGGCCGAGCAGTGATAACACATGGCCCCTGTGAACAGTTTAGCACCTTCCAGTGCCTCCCCTTCTCTTCCCTTGTGCTACATGCTTCCAGGGCCGGTGGTAAGTCAGCATCGTTTTCAGAATTACTAGCTGTAGCCAGTACACTGTGCCTGCCGTGTTTCAGCCCTAGCCTAAAACTGTACCATGACTCGACCAGTGCAGCTTGGCGGGCTTCGTGGGTGTGGAGAGGAGGCGGCGCTTATCTTCCTGTAGTTAACGCCTTTTACCAGGAAATGGGGCAAAAGAACAGCCTAAGAGGGATAGTAATGAAAACCAGGGTCGGGGAGCAGCCTCGCCATCATCCCTTCTTCCTTGTACTGTGGAATGCAGCTGGGCTCCAAAGAGAAACAAACACCTAGCTGTCGGGAAGTGAGCAAAACCCTTGGCTCCCATTTTATTTATTCTTCAAAGCTCATTTAATCAGGGGCTTATCTCCTGGCCCTGATTAAGAGAACAGCTTGCCTTAAAACAAAGGCAACTGCTGCTTATTTTGCTTCTGATTTGTAAGCCCCGCCACTGCCCCTCTGGCTGCCTGCAACAAAGTGCTTGGTCCTGGACCATGCCTCGTAAATATTCTGAGTAAATATGGAAAGTTTCCTGGAGACTGTTATTGGCCCTCGATATAATAGATGCTTTGTACTAAGCTGTAAATAATATTTATAAAAGTAACCACTCTTTGGAATGTTGCAAAGTAAGACAGAGGTTAGGGAAAGAAATTGAATCACCAAAGTTATGAAAAGATAGCTGAAGCATTACTATAATGGCTTTTCGGTGGGGTGTTACTGGTTTAGATGATCTAAAACTTAGGAGTGTATTATTTACCCAGGTGGCTTTAACACTTCCATTTAAAAATAATACAGCCACCTGGATCCAAAAATCATCTGTCCTGTTAATATCGAAAAACTTGGACACAAATTTGAAGATACATCATTATTACAACTACGGGAGGGAGGATCCAAGGTAAAAATCCTGGGAGGAAATATGTGGCAATGAATTAACGGATATTTTCTTTGTACCTCTTCTCGCCATGGCTGATGCTTACTTTCTGTAATGCTGGATTGTTTTGTAATTTTTTTAAATCGTCACATGTCTAGGACCGTGTAATGATTTCAAAGTCTTACATACTTTACCCTTTGGATTATGAAATCCAAACTGAATAGCTGTTTCACAGTCTGTAAGGTATGAAATATGCATGCTTTTTCAGTCCTGTGCATCATATTTTAGGAAACATTATATGACCAAAGATTTCTGCTCACTTTTTTTAAATTGTTTTTTAATTTATTTCTGAGAGAGAGAGACAGCATGAGCAGGGGAGGGTCAGAACGAGAGGGAGACACAGAATCAGAAGCAGGCTCCAGGCTCTGAGCTAGCTGTCAGCACAGAGCCTGACGTGGGGCTCGAACCCACGAACCGTGAGATCATTACCTGAGCCGAAGTCGGACACTTAACCGACTGAGCTACCCAGGCGCCCCTGCTCAGGCACTTTAATAAAAATGTTATGTATAATTGTGAAAACAGAAAACAAACTAAATATCCAGCAATAGAGAGATGGGTAAAATATAATGAAATTTTAAGCATCCATTAAAACGATTTTTGCTCAAATTTAATGATGGGGAAATGCCCACAAAATAATCATTTTGAAATGCATTTAAACCATATTCTGCATGATGCTCAAAGTTGGAAAACTTACTACAAAGAACCGCAGGAAAAAACAGGAGGCCCAAATGTGATGTGCTGGAGTTACAAGCAATAATTTTTTCCCTCTTCTGTATTTGAGATTTTCCATTACGAGGGAATATTCCCTTTCAAGTGAAAAACAGAATTCTGTTATTTGGGGGGAAAATTAATTTTAATTCATGCCCAAAGTCTAGTTGACTGGTCACTCCCATCTCTGAAGTCTGTCAGCATCTCCTGTGTGGCAGTGGGCTCTTGGCTGTCCAGCTCTCTGGACCCTGAGCCCCCCAGCCACGCTGGGGGCGTGGTCTCCGCTGGAGGAGCTCCTACCTGCCCCTCCCTCCAAGGGGCAGCTTCTTCATATTTCTGTCTCACAAACGTGAGATGATCTAAAATCCCTTGAGGACATATTCTTGGCTATTGTTTCCAAAGAGCACTTTTTTTCTTAATAGGATATGTCAATAGACATGCAACTAGTTTTTTAAAAATTGTGATTTTTAAACACCTGGGCAGCTCAGTCGATGGAGTGCTTGACTTTGGCTCAAGTCACGATCTTACAGTTCATGAGTTTGAGCCTCGCATCAGGCTTGCTTCTGTCAGTGCAGAGCCCACTTCGGATCCTCTGTCCCCTTGGCTCCCTGTCCACCCACTGAACTCTTCCTCTGAAAAATAAAGAAGTATTAAAAAAAATAGTGGTAAAATAAACAACATAAAACCATCTTAAGCATTTAAATTTTTTAAAAATTATTTTTAAAAATTCAACAGTAACTGACATATAGTATTATGTTAGCTTCAGGTGTACAGTTTGGTGATTCAACAACTCTATACATCACTGAGTGCTCATTGTGATAAGTGTCCTCTCAATCCCCTTCACCCATGTCACCCATACTCCCATCTGCCTCCCCTCTGGTAACCACCAGTTCTCTATGTTGATGAGTCTGGGGTTTTTGGTCTCTTTGTTTATTTGTTTGTTCTGTTTCTTAAATTCCAAAAATGAGTGAAGTCAATTTGTCTTTCTCTGACTTATTTTGCTTAACGGTATACACTCTGGATCCATCCGTGTTGTTGCAAATGGTAAAGTTTTGTTCTTTTTATGGTTGAATAATATTCCATTGTATATGTATACCACATCTTTTTTTAGTCATTTGTCTATTGAGGACACTTGGGCTACTTCCATAGTTAGTCTGTTGTAAACTATGCTGCAGTAAACATGGGGGATGCATATATCTTTTCAAATTAGTGTTTTTGTACTCTTTGGGTAAATGCTAGTGCTGGAATTACTGGATCACTTCTATTTAATTTTTGAAGGAACCTCCGTACTATTTTCCACAGTGGCTGTACCAGTTTGCATTCCCACCACAGTGTACGAGGGATCTTAAGCACATTTAAGCGTTCAGATTGGTAGAGCTAAGTACAGTCACATTGCACAGCCACTCTCCGGAATTCTTTTCCAGACAGACACGCAACATTCTGGCTGAAGCCTGTTTTAGAATTACAAATAGAACAGTTGAGGTCCAGAGGGATGTATGCCACCAACAAGGTAAAAAACAAAAAACAAGAAAAGGATTAAGGGAGAAGTAGTTTTTTGAAAGGTAGTCCAACATCTCACCTGTTTCTGTGCGGCCCGTGGTGGGTGAAAACACGCTCTGCGTGTGGAAATGTGAGTGTGGGCTTCTGAGCCAGTGGTACAAACACGAGATAGGAAGGGTGGGATTCCTCCCCGATTTCTGGCTAGTGTGTAGGCAGCTTACGTCACGGGACTGAACAGGGCCGTCTATATGTTTGTGTCAGAGTGAATGATGATTCTCCTTATTTATTTATTAGAATATATTGTGAATTTATTTACTTATTTATTTTGAGGGGGAGAGAGCGAGCAAGCAGGGAAGGAGCAGAGAGAGAGAGAGACAGGATACCAAGCAGGCTCTGTGCTGCCAATGCAGAACTTGATACAGGGCTCGAACCCACGAGCCGTGAGACCGGAGCCAAAAGCAAGGGTCGGACGCTTAACCAACTGAGCCTCCCACCCAGGCGCCCCATGAGGATTCTCCTCTTGACTTAGCTTCTCGTGGAAGGCTGTCTCTTAACCTTCCTAAGTGAGATTGTTTGACCCTCAGGGTGCTGAAACTGATTACCGCCGAGTTCTGCAGGCAAAATTGTCAAGAGGTGGCTCTAGGAATTTGTTTCTTTAAACTTCTAAATCCCCTGAGCTGCAAATTTCAGGAGAAGTTAAATTGTGCCCCACACAGCTGGAGGCTTGGTAGGGTTAGGTACTTTTTATTCAATCCTTAAATAGTGTTCCCTCACCATTTGGGCCTGGTCACTTAGCAGTTGGACTCCAGTCATCCCTGGTATTCACAGATCTAGAATTATTACATTTATTTATTTATTTTAATTTTTGAGACAGAGAGACAAAGCATGGGCGGAGGAGGGGCAGAGAGAGGGAGACTCAGAATCCGAAGCAGGATCCAGGCTCTGAGCTGTCAACACAGACCCCGACGCGGGGCTCGAACGCAAGAGCTGTGAGATCATGACCTGAGCCGAAGTCGGACGTTCAACCGACTGAGCCGCCCAGGCGCTCCCCAATTATTCCATTTCTTAAAACCTCAAACCTAGAGTCCAGTCCAGGGGTTTGTAGCCTCTGAGCCAAGAATGGTTTTTGGCATTTTTAAAAGGTTATAAAACAAGAAAAAACCAGCAAAACGATGAAGAATTAACAGGCAACAAAGGCCTATGTGGCCTGCAAAGCCTGAAATATTTACTCCCTCATCCCCTACAGAACACTTCGTCAACAGCTGGTTTTCCACCAGCTCCCGGGAGACTCAGACAGCTCAGAACATCTTCCTCTTTTGTATTTCTTCTAGATATTTGACTTCTTTGCTGACTTTCCCACTTTTTTCCTCCCTCTAAAGAAATACAAGCCGTCGGACCCGGCCTTTGCTTACGCACAGCTAACCCATGATGAGCTGATCCAGCTGGTCCTCAAACAGAAGGAGACGATAAGCAAGAAGGAGTTTCAGGTCCGCGAGCTGGAAGACTACATTGACAACCTGCTGGTCAGGGTCATGGAAGAAACCCCTAACATCCTCCGAATCCCGGCACAGGTGGGCAAGAAGGCGGGAAAGATGTGAATCAGCCGACGGCACCGAGACTTCTTTGGGAGTGTGTTTCCACCCGCTCCCGAGGTCAAGGACTCGGATGCCTGATAACCGGCCCTCAGGCTCGAAATCACCATCTGTCTCCCTCGCGTGTTATCTGGCAAGAGTCCGTTCTACCAGTTGAAACCAGGTTAATGATTACAATGGATCTTTTACTGTACATTCCCAGGGCTTTAATTTTAAATGCCACCGTGCCTTTGACTATACTGTAAATATTTTACACTCTGATTGGAGACATGGTCGTAAGATCTCCTGGCCCAGAGATTCACGTGGCACAGGGTATATTCATGTATTTAACATTGGGACGGTTTTCTTTCTTCGATACTGAAATCTGAAAATACATACCCCCCCCCCCCCCCCCGAGTCGGTAAAGTGTGGGGTGAAAGAAGAAGGACCCTGTGGTTGGTGTTGTGTTACACACACTTGCTTGGCTTTTGAGTAGCTCAGGGTGGCTTTTTGGCACTAGATTTTGGTATCTTCCAGGCTGCTTCGACTGGGTCTTGTTGATTTGACTGGAGCAGGGGAGTTTAGTGCCTTGTAGATTTTGGACAAGCTGCTTTTTCTAAACATCAGCTACCACTACTCTCTCGCCTTAAAATGTCCTCCTTATCAATCCGTAGGGCCTATCCGTAGAGACATGAGAAGCAGAATAGGGAATTAGAGAGTCACTTTGCACTCGCCTAATGGGGTTGGTCAAAGTCTCATGATAGCCGGGTTCCTGCCGGCTGCAGTGGCCTAGTCAGTGCCTTGATAAGGGCTCGAATGACCCATGCACTTGCTAAAGTGGTTCCGCCACATACGGAATGATTTTAGTGGGGTTCATTTGGCCTCTGCTTTTTCCACTGATCTCCTTGGCGACACTTCCTGGCATATTTCCCCCGCCTTATTATACAATTATGAAGAGCAAGAAGGTAACACTTAGTTTGGGTTTGCTGTATTTTTAAATCTAGGAGAATACCCATATATTTTTTAAACTGGGACATGTCTTCACTAATAGCACCCAGTTCCAGTCCTTCAGGTAGTTTCATTGGTTCGGAACCAAATACTGGAATTAGAATATTTCTGTGTTGGTCGGTTTTCTCTAGTGGTTGTGACAAGATCTTAGCAAATCTTGACCTCTCTCCTGGGGGAAGAATGCCGCCGGCTAGCGCGGTGGGCGGGGCTGAAGGATCGGGTCGGTATTGCTTCTCTGTCTGTCCTTATTCTATGGTGGTTAAGAGGCATCGTGATTTTGGCAGCAGAACCTGTTTTCAGGATCGTGTTTGCTGCAACGTCAGTTATATCGGAGCACTTTAATCTGAAGGATGATACTGTAACGTGATTTCTCAAATTAGCTTTTAATGATCGTTAGCTATTTTATTTAATACTCTCTCACAATCGTGGGGACCACTGTAAGCCTCTCAGATGCCTTGTATTTTTGTAGTGCTATGAAAGTTATTTACGTACCGATAAAAAGAACCATATATTCCACTTGAACTCTGAAAATGTATATATTTGTTCTGCAATATATTTTTTACTTATAAATGTATTTTGACTGTGATAACCCAAGTGTACTGGGGCAGGTGTGGCCTGAATGATTCCTCCTTGGAAGGGCTGGTGTGGAGACCTGTGTTGTTCACAAGAGGTCTGGAGATCGTCTGCTGCTAGGACCTTGGGTACATAACTAACTAGGTCAGTGTTTGAGAGGGACGTTTGGGTGGAGGGGTGAATCCCTATGCTCTGAAATACCACTTGGGAATGCTGGAGAATGAAGGACAACTTACTTCAGGGGTGTCTGGCTTTGACCACTGCTGGGAAAAAACCTCAATTCATAGCATTCCTGCACCTCTCAAAGTAGATCTCCTGGAGGTCATTAGTTAATGACTGTCCTCAAGGACCCTACTTTGGGGGAGAATTTATCTGGGAAGAATTTTAGTCTGCTCTGAGCCATTAGCAGGGGTCGATGAATCGGAGCATTGATGCCGCTCTGACTGGCTCGGGTCGGGGGGCACACACCCATGCACACAAAGAGACTTGGGACCCGCCTCTGGCTGCTGTAAACACTCACCCCATGGAAGGAGCTGGGAGAAAGCTGTGTTCTGGAGCAGCCCTCCTCCTCCTGGCCTTGCCCGGCTGCCTCCAGAAAGAACAGTCAGGACTTCAGGGAAGCATCCGACCAAATACCAAACACCTTGCAGTGAACTTCAGTTAGAGGTCAGACTCCTGAAAAAATGTCAGTCCTTTGCCCGACTACTTGCTCTCATCTCACTGCTCGGACCTTGACAGGTTTCGTGGCCTCTGTTTTACTCTCCTGTGTGTTAACCACCTCAGGGTAGGAGAATGGAGGGGCAAGAAAGTCCACCCTTTGCCGCTCCTGAGGGGGAGGTGTGTGCACGGATGGGGTGTACGTGTGCGGTTTCCGGCTTTGCTAACAGCGGGCGCTCAAAAGGGCAGAGAGGAGGGGAGATCCACAACACTCAGCCCCTTGCTGTGTTGAAGGCCAGAGGCAACCTAACATTAAATTAGGCAGGACCTTCCCTCCCTGGGTCCTTTTCCCCGCTTGACCTTTTTATTTTCTTTCTGAGAACTACTAATTAATGATCCCTCAAGGCTGAAAGATTAACTGCCTTAGGTGGAGAACTTAACCTCCTGCTTTCTCAGGATCTACTATGTGAGCTACTAATTTTGACCTCTTCCTCCCCCTGATTGAAGGATGGCGCCGCATTTTTGGATTATAAACCTGTTTCCTGCCATTACTTCAGGAGTTTTTAATTTCTCTGGTTTTGTTTTTAAGAAGTAACCTAAAATTTCTACAACACTAAATAAAATGTACTACCTTCCAAAGATTTGTGTCTGTACTTTTGTGTGGGTGCAATGAAACTGTCTTCCGTCTTCCAGAAAACCTCTCTTGGGGGGTGGCCGGTGTTTCTCACCCCAGGAGGGTCTCACACCTGGATTCCCGCCGCTTTCACGTGGCCTGGTGCCCAGAGGTCCCAGTGCCCTTCTTCCTGCAGAGGATGGGACATCTCTGACCCCTTCCCTACGACACGCCCCTCATCTTGGCCTGCAGGGACCGTGACATTTACCAGAAGGACATCATTTGAATTTTCTGTCCCCACTATTAAAAGCTACCACCTGTCCCTCAGCGCCGGGCACTTTCGTCTGAGTGTATGAGCAAGGTCCCTTCCTTGATCCCCCCACCCCAAACCCTCACTGATTTGCTAGAGGGTGAAAGCCTCACTGCAGGGACGGGATTTGAATTCACACTGCCCCAGATCCCTGGTGCTGTCAAATTGGTTTATTCATTTCTGAATAGAGGGTTGTAGGGAAGCCCAGGGAATCTCCTGAGTTCAACTCTCCCAGAAGTCTGAGCCTTTCCTGATGAGTGAGAGGTCGGCCTGCCTCACAACCATAGTCCATGCTCCAAGAGCCCTGACCTCTTGAGAGGGAGGAGAGGCTTTTTTGTGCCCTGTGATAGAAGTCACACTCTGGAGGGACAGGCAGGCAGCACCCTGGGTGGGATGGGGGAGCTCCCCTGAAGGCCTCCCTGGTTACCCCAACTGGTTGACAGTGGTGGGGCCACCATGTAAAGTGATATGAAAGCAACTGCTCCTAGAACACAGCCCTCTGGGTTTGATTTAAGAAAAAAACCACAAAAACAAAAAGAGCTTCTGGAAGGAGAGTCTTAGGGAAGGAAAGTTTCATTATACAAATGACCTGAACTGTTCCCTCTGAGATCCTCCACTTCTTGCTTTTGCAGTTCTCTCTGGTCCCCCCTGCGGCCACCAGACCCAGCCCTCAGGGGCAGGCTGCTGTGTCTTTCAAACCCCAGCCCCAGAGGGACATAACTCTCTCCGTTCTCTGAAGGCTCCTTAGCTTACCTGCTAATAACAAAAAGTTTAAAATAAAAAAACAAACCCAGGAAAATGCAGAGAATGATTGTACAATATACGAACAGCATAAAGAGTGAACTTTCCCAAATCCGGGATTCTTTTTTTTTTTTTTTTTTTTTTAATTTCTACGAGAGAGAGAGAGAGAGAGAGTGTGAGCAGGGGAGGGTCAGAGAGAGAGGGAGTCACAGACTCTGAAACAGGCTCCAGGCTCCGAGCTGGCAGTCAGCACAGAGCCCGACGCGGGGCTCGAACCCACGAACCGCGAGATCATGACCTAAGTGAAAGTCGGACGCTTAACCGACTAAGCCACCCAGGCGCCCCCCAAATCCGGGATTCTAAAGCTGCAGGAAGTCAAGGCAGCTTGGACCATCGGGGCTTGGTGGTCATCTGCCAGGCGGCTTCAGGTTCCCACCTTGGCTTCTCAGTTGGTGTAAAGCCTCTCCTATTCTGCCTCTGAGGGAGTAGTGTCCTCCTCTCCCCACACTCCCTCATCCACTCACTTGGCCTATAGATTTTTCTAAGTCCTACAGGCTTAATGCCCAGAACAAAAGAAATCCTAAGCTCCTCACCACCAAGAGGTACTAACCACTGTTGTTTTGATTCTTTGTCCTGGCATTTCCCGCCCCCCCCCCCGCCCCATACAAATAGATACACTTTATTTCTTTAAGAAATATAATTTGGATTTTCTTTAATTGAGGTGTAGTTGACCTACAATATTATATTTGCTTCAGGTGCACAACCTCGTGATTTGACATTTATATACGTTAGGAAATGATCACCATGATCCAGCTCTTCCAGTACTCACTAGACTCCTGTTGCATCCTCATGTCTTTAGATACGCTTTATTCACTTTTTTTAAATGTTTATTTTTGAGACAGAGACAGAGACAGAGCATGAGTGGGGGAGGGTCAGAGCAAGGGAGGGAGACACAGAATCCCAGGCAGGCTCCAGGCTCTGAGCTGTCAGCACAGAGCCTGATGTGGGGCTTGAACCACGAACCGTGAGATCATGACCCCCAGCTGAAGTCCAACGGTTAATCGACTGAGCCACCCCAGCACTCTACATACACTTTAAAAAAAAGAAGTGAATGGTGATAAAAAATTAAAAAAATAAAATGAAGATGGGAACACGCAGTACAGTAAGTACGGACTGTTTTGAACATCTCTGCATCCCTTCGGATAGTGTTCTGCAACAAGGACAGATAGTGATTCTGGGGGAGAACGTGCCCCAGCTAACTACCCCCCCCCCAAAACGCACGCCCATGCACACAAAAGAACCGTGGGGGCTGCAGACACAAACCAGTTTACTTCCGTCTCCGCTTATCATCGCGGCCGCCTCTGGACCAGAATAAGCACTTGCTGGGGAAGCACCCCGCCTCCACCTCCCATGGAAACCAGTCATTTACGGGGTGTGGTTCTGACTCTTTAACCACGACCCAGACATCAGCAGCACAGGCTGCTTGAACCCAATGTCCATGAGCGAATGGATTCAGTTCCCGAAGCTTCTCTTCAGGTGTTCTCTTTGGGGGTCTGCCATCTAGCCCTCGGGGGAAGCCAGGAGCTTTCACTTCACATTCACAACAGGCTTCCTTAGCTCTGCGGATCTCTCGACAGTTTTACACACAAGCCTGTATCCGAGCCCTGGAAATAGTCCCGTCGATAAGCCCTCAGAGGAGAGAGAAAGCTGTTGCCCCTACACGTCAAGTGCCCTCCAGGCTGAGCTTTGACTGCAGAAGCATTGTTGCATTAAGCCTTTGCATTCTTACTAGTCACTATGTACTGACAGGTACTATTTCTAATTCTCATCAAGGTAGATAATATCTCCATCAAGCAGATGAGGAAAGAGAGTCCCAGGCATGGGGAGAATTTTAGTCCCCCCAGGGTGGCACAGTGAGTAGTTAAGAACAGATTTTGGGGCACCTGGGTGGCTCAGTTGGTTCAGTGTCCAACTCTTGATTTCAGCTCAGGTCATGATCTCCGGTCTGTGGGATCCAGCCCCGCATCGGGCTCTGCACTAACAGCACGGACCCTGCTTGGGATTCTCTCTCTCTCTGCCCCTCCCTCAGACTCTCTCTCAAAAATAAATAAATATACTTGAAAGAAAAAGCTAAAAAAAAAAAAACCAGCTTTGAACTCCTCGTCCATTTGACCTGGAGGTCTAAACAGGGTCAGTAAATATGGGCTGCCTCTTGTTTTTATGCGGCCCTCGAAGCAAGATGATCTTTGCCTTTTAAAAAAAATTTTTTTTAATGTTTTATTTATTTCTAGGAGAGAGAGAGAGACAGCGTGAGCAGGGGAGGGTCAGAGAGAGAGGGAGTCACAGACTCCGAAACAGGCTCCAGGCTCTGAGCTGGCAGTCAGCACAGAGCCCGACGCGGGGCTCGAACCCACGAACCGCAAGATCATGACCTAAGCGAAAGTCGGACGCTTAACTGACTAAGCCACCCAGGCGCTCCTGCCTTTTTTTTTTTTTTTTAAACATAAAATGAATAAGTCTGGAGATCTAATGTATAGCGTGATGGGCATGGTCAATGACACCACACCGAATACTGAAATTCTTGCCATTTTTTAACAACAACAAAAAAAATCAAAATAACAGTATTTCATGACACGTGAAAATTACATGAAATTCAGAAGTCAGTGTCCACAAAGTTTCACTGGAATACAGCCATGCTCATTTGTTCACATAGTTGTCTATGCTGTTTGCACGTTATAAAAGCAGGCTTGAGGAGCTGTAACAGAGATCCCATCATCTGCCAAACCTAAATATTTGCTATCTGGCCCTTTACAGAAAGTTTGCTAACCCCTAGTCTGGGATCACTGTGAGAGCCAAGGAGATAATGTTCTCATTCTCTTGGGATCCTGGAGGATTGGAGCAGGCAGGGAAGATGGTGTGACTCAGTTCCCCCTCAAGATGGGGCCAGCTATACCGCAGTCTCCCTGAGAAGGGAAGTTCCAGGTAAGGAAGCTGACTGGCACTCATGCTCTCAGTCCATGCAGCGAGTGGTGGCCTCTGACCGCCTTCTTAGGGTTATCAGATGCCTTTGTTCCTAGGAGTTCAAGAAACTAAACACATTAGTCCTCGGTCCAAGAAAGGCAAAGTGCGTAGTGGGGATGGAATAAACGATGCAAAAGGGGAAAGCGGATATGAGCAAAGGAAGTTAGCTGGCACCAGGACTTAGGTGGTTCATGCTATACGCCATAGCAGTGCCACCGTGAGTGGTAGAGAATGAGCATCCGCTGAAGAGTTGAGGCGATGGCAAGGAAATCCAGTCAGAAAGACTCGTCAGCCTGAGCCAGCTGCCAGGCTTAGTGTGACTGGAGAGCGTGTCCTTAGGGCTCAGAGTGAAACTGGCTTAGAGTGATAATGTTTCAGTCAACTGAGCTGGGAGGAGCCCAGGGGTGAGGCCAGATTAAGGACCAGAGGCCACCCAGCTCTCCCTGGCTACTTCTAGATCAGAATCTCTTGCCTCAGAGAAGCTTAGGCTCTCTGTTGCTTCTGTCAGGCCCACCTGGGACAGGTGTTCACAGGAGCTGACTAGCTCCTCACTGAATGCCAGCCCTCAGTGCAGATGATGCCCCCTGGACACAGGGACGACAAAGCCACATCACTCCCACAAAGATTTGCAATCAAAGGGAGAGCCAGACAAGCAACCAACTGGTAGAATAACACACATCTGACTAAGGAGGACTCGTGAGAGCTTCCTTCAGATCCCCGAGCATCAGTGTCTTCCTCTTCCCTCTCCTCCCTGGAAAGAACTGTGGCTTAAAGTAAGTATTTCATATCTGGACCATGGCTGGGCAGCCTTTCCAAGAGCCTCTGCTCCCCAACTGTCACTCCTCCCCAACAGCCCCCCTTCCCCCAACAGCCTCCCCTCCCCAACAGCCTCCCTTCCCCAACAGCCTCCCTTCCCCATCAGCCTCCCCTCCCCATCAGCCTCCCCTCCTCTGTAGCTTCCCCTCCCCATCAGCCTCCCCTCCTCTGTAGCTTCCCCTCCCCATCAGCCTCCCTTCCCCATCAGCCTCCCCTCCCCATCAGCCTCCCCTCCCCAACAGCCTCCCCTCCCCA